AGGTGGGGCTAGGATGATAGCTCAGGGGTTAAGAGAATGCACTGCTCTTGGAGAAGGTCCAAATTTGGTTCCTACTATCCATGTCAGCTCACAACCACCTGTAACTCCAGCTCTGAAGGATCAAACACCTATACAATCCTTTAAAAAAGAAGTTTCAAAAATTGCTTATTTTGAAAAAAAAAAAAAAAAAACAATTGCTAATTTTGATGTTATATTTAATCTGTTACCATGACAACAGGAAAAAAAAATCCATTTTCTGGCCCGACTGACTTATTATTTCCTTTTTTTCCCTTTGGTTTTTTGAGACAGGGTTTCTCTGTGTAGCCTTGGCTGTCCTGGAATATACTTTGTATAAGAGGCTGGGCTCGAACTTAGAGATCTACCTGCCTGTTCCTCCGGAGTACTGGGGTTAAAGGCGTGCACCACCACCCACTCAACTACCCAATGATTTCTTAAAACCTTTTTTAGTCTTAGGCACTAAGCTTAGTCACTGGACAGCAAGGGACCTTGCCTTTTCTCTTGCTATAATGAAATACCATAACCAAGGCAAACTTACAAAAGGTTTATTTTGGCCTATTTTTATCTAGAGGGATAAAAGTTCATGGTGGAAGGCACAGCAACAGGCAGCAGGCATGGCAGCAGGAGCAGGAACCTAAGAGATCAAATCTTCAACTATGACCTTGAAGCAGGAAAAAAAAAAAAAAACCAACCAACCAACAAAACAAAACTAGGAGAGACTTCTTATTTGAAAAGCCTATCCTTGGTGACACGTTCCTGTTTCGGCACACTTTCTAAACCTCCCCAAACAGCACCACCACCTGGGGACCAAATATTCAAACATATGTGCCTACAGGGGACATTTTAACTCTAGTGAAAGCAATGTCCCACCAAGTCCAGATCAGCCCATCCTTGGCGGCTGCACCCTCCCCATCAAGGTCCCCCCAACTGGGAATCCATCTACTCTCCAGGACCAGATTAGTGCTCCCTCAAAGCTAAAAAGCTACTCCACCTGCCCACCGAGACCCCAGAGATCCTAGCCCAAGAGCACCAGTGCTTCCAAAACATCAAAGGGTCTCAGAAAAGTTACAATTCCCTTACATATGGCTTGGTACACTTGGCTGGAAAATGAGGCCCTGCGGAATCATGTGAGCTGTTGTTTTTGGGAAAACACGTGCCCCTGTTGCTGTCATGCATACTGAACCCCAGGTACCCATCCACAGCACTGGTGGCACAGGGCTCACCAGCCACTGCAAAGACACCTGTACTTCTCCAACCACAGTTACCAAAGACACTCATCAAAGCCAGGACAGTCCTATCCAAATATGCATGCCAAATACATGCAGCATATACTATGTCAATGATCCATTATACTTCACACCCAAACTATCACACTTCATATTCTTCCAAATTACCTTTGAATTTTGTTCTCTTAGGTAGGTAGAGTGATACTTATAGACCTTGCTAGCCTGGAACTCAAGAGATCCTCGTGCCTTTTCATCCTAAGTGTGGGTGGGATTAAAGGCATGCACTAAGATGACAGGGCACCTCTTTGAATTTTTGAAATAAAACTATAAAATGCAAATATAAAAGTTGGAACTAGAATAAAATCATGGTGATTTAAATATGAGACCAAGCAGTGGGGAGGTGGTGGTGCCTTTAATCCCAGCACCAGGAGGCAGATGCAGGTGGATCACTGTGAGTCCAAAGCCAGCCTGGTCTACAGAGCTAGTTCCAGGTCACCTAGGGCTACACAGGGAAACCCTGTCTCCAAAAACAAAGCAAAACAGAAAATACTAGAGCAACCATGGACTGCCTTTTTTTTTTTTTTTTCAGTGTACAGTGACTTAAATTCAACAGTGAAATCAAACAAACATTAAAAATATTCCCAAGCCAGGAGCCCTGGGGCACACCTGTAATCCTAGCACTCAGGAAGGCAGAGGCAGGCAAAGCTCTGTGAGTTCAAGGACAGCTTGGTCTATAAAGCCAGTCCAGGATAGTCAAGGCTACGTTGAGAAACCCTGTCTCCAAAAACCAAATAGAAAAAAAAAAAAAAAAAAAAGAATATTCCTAAGCAGAGTCAGTCAGTCATGCAGCTGACAGACACCAGCACTCGGGATTAGTGGTGCTGGGCAGTGGGAACACACATCTGTAATCCCAGCACTGGGGAGGCAGTGGCAGAAGGAGTTGAGGCCAGCCTGGTCTACAGAGCAGGGCAGTCTACAGAGTTCTAAGGCAACCAGGACTACACAAAGAAAACTCTGTCTTGAGGCAAAAACAGACAAACAAACAAAAAAACCCAACACCTGGGTGGGAGATTCACTAAGAGTTCAAGGCCAGCCTAACACTAGACTGAACTCCAAGTCAGACTGCAGAGACACACGTCTGAAAATGAAGTAAGAGTATTCAAACTAGGTGTAACAGTAGCCCCAGTTCCTGGGTGGAGGCAGGAAGATCCCAGCTGAAGATCATCTTGGTCTCCAGAGCCAGACTGTCTCAAAAATACAAAAATTAAAATGTCAACCTCAGCATAATTATTATATTATACATATATTATTATATTATACGGTGTGTCGTTATCAGTTTAAACTTAAAAAATATTGGGTGGCTAGAGTGTTGGCTCAGTGGTTAAGAGAACTGGCTGTTCTTTCAAAAACCCAGGTTCAATTCCCAGGATTCACATGGAGACTTACAAGTGTGTAACTGCAGTTCCAGGGAATCCAAAGCCATCTTCTGACACGAGGCACCAGGCACACACGTGATGCAGACATATACTTGCAGGTAAAACATCCACACACATAAAATAAAAATAAAATTAAAAATATACATATTTAAAAAATTTGGTGGTGGAGAAATGGCTCATCAGTTGTTAAGAACACGTGGGCTTCGTAAGAAGCCCTGAGTCTGGTTCCCAGCACCCACATCAGATGACTCATAACCTCCAAGCTCAGCTACAGGGGTCCTTTGATGCCTCTACTCTCACATGTACACACCAACACAAACACATGCTTAGAAGGTTTACTCTAACAGTTTTTAATTGAAGTTAAAAATTAAAAAAAATAACAATAAAAAATAACTGGTAGGCTAGCAAGACAGCTTCCAGGTTCGGGCCCATGCTGCCACAGCTGACGATCTGATACCCAGGACGCGCACAGCAGAAACAGAGGGATCCAGCAAGTTGTCCTCTGGCCTCCATGTGTATGTTGTGCAAATGCAAGCAAGGCACACGCAGAAGCGAATGTAATCTTATTTGCTTTTTTACTTATTTTGTGGCAGGGGTTAGCCCTGGCTGGCCTGGAACTCTCTATGTAGACCAGGCTGGCCTTGAACTCAGAGATCCCCCTGCCTCTGCAAGTTGTCCTCTGGCTCCCATGTGTATGCTACGGCAAATGTAAGCAAGGCACACAAAGAAACGAATGTAATTTGTTTCGTCACTGTTTATTTACTTACGTGTTTATTTAGAGACAGGAGTTAGCCCTGGCTGGCCTTCTACTTACAGAGATCCACCTGCCTCTGCCCCCAGAATGCTGGGATTAAAGGTGTGCACCACTACACCTGGCAACAAATGCAATTTTAAATTTATTCTACTTTATGTGTATGAGTGTTCTGCCTGTGCTTGTCTGTGTAGTATATGGGTGCCTGGTGGTCACAGCATTAGGAAGAGGGCATCTGATGTCTAAAACGAGAGCCACAAATGGCTTCAAGCTGTTATGTTGATGCTACAGATTGAAGCAACAAGTACTCTTAACCACAAACACTATAAATTTTTTTTAAAAATAAATGAACTTTGTAGCCAAGCACAATGTCCCATGCTGGAACAACTTCCAAGGTTAAGAAATATGGGATACACACACATCAGCTTTTTACCAGTAGCTCCAAAAACTGAAAGCAATCAAAAACTTCAGTCTATGGCAAAAGCTGTCCTAGCAATGACATAGAAAGGAACTCCTGAGGAATAATTAGCGTTTCCTGGAGAGCAAAGCTGTTTTTCAAGTAAACGGTAATTTTATCCAACCACAGAACCAAATGAAATCGCTTTGGACCATGACAGAGTTCCCCACAAGGCTCACTTGTCGCTCTACGCAACCCAAACTGATCTAGAGCGTACTAGACACAGTCCAGCCTAGCCTGGAACTTCTACTGCCTCAGCCTCCAGAGTGCTGGGATGACAGGGTGAAGACACTCTGTCTAGCTACAGATTCCTAAGGTTCTGGACAGTTTCTAAATCCTTCATGTTTGGAGTTTTCCATTTTTAGGCTATAAAAACACTAGGGAAAGAGAACTGCCAGGCTTAAGAAACTACCTTCAAATTTTCCCCCCACTGAAAACATGAATAAGAGAAGAAGGTAACAGCTTTCTGGTCTTCATCTTACACAGCTACTTGAATTCGGGGCATTTTCCCCACCACACACAGCTTAACATTCCCTTGAGTGCGCCCTCCCTGATGGTTCTAACAACTTGCGCAAACTCCCAGTGGGCACGGTGAGCCCGGAAAACTTCCACCCACCAACACAGGTGATGACGGGAGGGAGAGCCGAAGGCTGACGGCAGAAATGATGGTCTGTGCCCTGGGAGTCCCTCCCGTAGGCCGGACAAAGGGCCGTGTGGGCTGGGACACCAGGGCATGGGATCTGACAGAGTGTGGCAGACGAGAGTGGGCCAGCAGCAGGTCAGACACGCCTAGCCAAGTGCCGGGGGCTGTGGTCCCAGTCCGGGCAGTGGGGAGCAAGCTAGGGTCGGTCAGGCTCAGTCGGGTCTCGGCCGAGGGCAGCCTTGCTCCCGGATAGCGGGTCACGGTCCCTCCCTGACGGCGACCGGCAGGTCCGGCTGAGGGTCTGACCCTGCGCCCTGGAGGCCGGTGAGGGTCGGCTGGCCCTGCCTGCTCAGGGGGAGGGGGTGTGGGCCCGCCCTCCCCGGGGGTGGCTGCGGGGGTCGGAGTCCCTCCCTGCCGGGGGCGGCCCCCGTGGGTCAAGTCCAGGCCGCAGCCCCCGCCCGCCACTCACACGCGCGGCAGCTGCAGCGGCGGCGCCCCGCGCCGCTGGAACACCCCGTCCACGAACACGCCGTTCTTGCCGAGACAGCGCAGGTAGAAGTCGCCGCCCGCGTCCGGCCGGGGCTGCGCGGGTTCCGGGGCGGCCGCGCTATGGCCGCCGCCCGGGGGCGTGAAGATCTCCAGGTGGCGCCGCGAGATGAAGCTCGAGTGGCCCATGCTCACGTCTACCGAGCCCTGCGACGAGTTGCGCCCGATGGTCACCGAACGCTTCTTCATGAGGTACTCGAACTCGCGGC